CCTGTCTTAAAAGCTGAAATATTTATTTGCTGCCATTTCTTGGTTATTCGACGTCTCTATCAATGTTGTGAAACTGATTAACTGTATCTAACAAATATTAAAAACAAATCTCTTCATTTTGATGTACGAGACACAGATGGCGTTGGCTGTCATTGAAGTAGGAAGAAAAAAAGGGTTTTCCCCTTTCGACCCCGTGACGTGAACTGATTAAGTGTGTAATAACTTTCGGGGCCAGAAAAATTTCCCGACAATTGTTAAAAAATGTATATTTTGTAGTATAGAGAATATAATTAGATAAATCAACATATTAGAGTTTTTATTACAGATTCAACATCACACTACCCAGGTAAGTGAGCAAGTTTTGTCTTTAGTTTTTCTGGATTGCTCGGTATCTGGGATGAGTGAAGGAAGTATTTTTATTTTAATGATATTTAATGATAAGACTATGTTTTAGTAATAACAAAAGTGGCGTCCCGTGACAGGACTCTTAAGAAATAAACTTTTAAAAAAAATTATTTTAATGGGTTATAGATAGTTTTTGATGTATTAAAGTATAATTAAGTTTAAATTCGAAACTATTTTTTGTAAAGCAGTTTGTTTTATTTTGAAAGTTAACTATGGAAGCTTTAAAGGCTCTGAAACTTAAACGGGCAGGTTTACGCACTTCTTTTGCAAAAACTGCTAATATTTTAAAAACGGAATTAGTAAAAGAAGATTTTTCTGTAGATTTAGTACGAGATAAACTTACTAAACTACAAAATGTATATTCAGATATAAAAAATGTAGATGATAAAATTCTTGATTTGTTAGCTGAAGACGGGAAAACTTTAGAGGATGATGTTACTAAAGAAATCGAAAGTCGCGAGGTGTATTCTGATGATTTCATAACACTAACTCGGCAAATTAATGAAAAATTGCAATTTTCAGATGAAATCAATTTAGAAACAAGACCAAATGATGGTGCTGGTATTTGTTGTAGTAAGATTAAACAGTATAGACTTCCGAAAATCGAACTTAAGAAGTTTGATGGGGAATTGATAAATTGGTTACCGTTTTGGTCGCAGTTTGAGAAAATTCACACTGACCCTGATTTATATGAAAGTGACAAATTTTCCTATTTGATTCAGTGTATGAAGCCCGGATCACGTGCTAAAGAATTCATTGAAAGCTATCCGGTGACTTCGGAAAATTATGATAAAGCTGTTTTAGCTTTGAAGGAACGTTTTGGGAAACCTGAATTATTAGTAGAAGTGTATGTTAGGGAACTAATTAAATTAATTGTTTCTAATGTGAAGGCAGATCAAAAGGATAAATTACCTCTTGATAAACTGTATGATAAAATTGAAGCTCAGTTGAGAGCCTTAGAGTCTTTAGGTCTTAAATCGAGCGAAAACACATCGTGGTTATTTCCGATGGTGGAATCGTGTCTCACAGAGGATGTTTTAAAGGCGTGGCAAAGGAGTTCGCTCTTTAACCAGCCTGAAGGAACTGATCTTTCTCGCCTTACCAACTTAATGAAATTTTTAAAGTCTGAAGTGGAGGGTGAGGAGAGATTAAAATTGGCGCGTAATGGACTCGATGGTGTTAGTCGTAAAGAAGGATATCATGATAAAGCAAAGAGGGAAACAAAAGGTAAATTTAAATTTAAGAAACAGGGAAATGTTCCCACTGCCACAGGTTTTCTTACAACCAGAGAACATGCATGTATTTTTTGTGGTAAAATGCATGATAGTAAAAATTGTTACGATGCGCGTTCATTATCTCTTAATGAAAGGATTTCTAAAGTTAAGGAGAAAAAATGCTGTTTAAAATGCTTGGAACCAAATCATATGGCAAAGTTCTGTAAACAGTTTGTTAGGTGTTTTGCTTGTGGTAAATCACACTCAGTTATTTTGTGTCCGGACATTAATAATGAAACTGAACTTCCTACAGAAAAATCAGAAATAGACAACATACATACGGCTACAGCCAGGCAAACTTGTACCGCTGACGTAGCTTTAATGACTTTACGCGTAAGAGTAGCTGGTGTCAAAAAGCATAAAGATGTTAGAGTACTCTTAGATTGTGGTTCCCAGAAATCGTATATTTTGAAATCATTAGCCACTGAATTGGGGTTACCAATTATTTCCAAAGAAAATGTTGCTCTTACTTTATTTGGAGGTGCCAGAACAGAGGCAAAGATGCATAACAAATATTTGGTAAAATTATGTTCAGCCAGTCCGCGTAAGTATTCAGATCTAGAATTTGAATTTTTAGATCAAGACATAATATGTGGGGATATACCTCGGGTACCCAAGGGTCCAATATTAAAAGAATTAAAACGAAACAACATTTGGTTGTCGGATCTGGGAGCAGATTGTCCAAAAATAGAAATGCTCATCGGTAGTGATATTTATGGAAAAATTCTCACGGGATCAGTAAAACAATTAAAAGGAGGACTAACAGCAGTTTGTACAAAACTTGGTTGGACAGTTTGTGGTGTATCGGAGGAATTTGTTAATCACAAAGATAAAGATGCTTCCATTTTGTGTGCAAGTTTAGTGGGTCACGACTTTAAAATCTCCGATCTTTGGAGTTTAGAAACGATCGGAATATTAGATGCTCACCAGAATTCAACTAACGCTGCTGAGGAAGAAATTGCCCACGAACAATTTTTAAACTCTCTTTCCAGAAACGAAGATGGTCGTTATTGTGTCGGATTACCTTGGTTAGTATATAACGCAGAATTGCCATCAAATCGTCATGTAGCAGAAAAAAGATTGTTCAGTGTCACCCGAAAACTCAAGTCTTTACATAAATATGAAGAATATGATAGAATTTTTAATGAATGGATGGAGGAGGGTGTAATTGAAATAGTACCAGACAATGAACTGAATTATAAAGGGCACTACTTACCGCATCACCCAGTATTTAAACCAGACAGTGTCTCAACTAAGATAAGACCTGTTTTTGACGCATCATGTAAAGTTAATAGATCGCCCTCCCTTAATGATTACTTAGTAAAAGGACCAAATTTAATAGAAGAAATCCCTTCAATTTTGTTAAGATTTAGAGAAAAATGCATTGGCGTAACCTCTGATATCCGGCGTGCATTTTTACAGATTGAATTACGGAAAGAAGATAGGGACTTTTTAAGATTTTTATGGTGGGAGAAAGATAATGTACTGAAGGTTTTCCGCCATACGAGGGTAGTTTTTGGAGTAAAGTCTAGCCCTTTTCTATTAGGAGCGGTTATTTCAGTTCATTTGGCACAAGTACCAAAGGAACAAAGTTCTATTGCTCAGAAATTAAATAAATCCTTTTATATTGATAATTGTGTGACTTCTGTTGATAACGAAAAGGAGCTTGTGAATTTTGTGAAATCTTCTACTGAAATATTAGCTGAAGCAAAAATGGACTTACGTATGTGGACCTATGGCCCAGTAGAAAAAGATGTGGAACTAACCCAAAGTACTTTGTGCACTGAGTCCACAATGGAGAATTCTGTACCAGTTTTAGGAATTATGTGGGACAGAATAGAAGATAACCTTTATATTGAAATTAAGACTGTATTGGTTTCGGATAATTTGTCTAAAAGAGAGGTTTTGTCAGTAACGCAGACAATGTTTGATCCTTTGGGTTTCTTGACACCTGTTTTATTGCCTGCAAAGTTACTGCTACAGGAAATTTGGGCGATAAAAGCAGACTGGGATACTCCATTACCAGATAGTATCAAAAGTAAATTTTCGAGGTGGTATAATAAATTACAAATTTTGAATAAGTTGAGAATACCGCGACGTATAGGTTTTGGAGATAGAAGTTCCTGGACACTTCATGTATTTTGTGATGCTAGCCAGCATGCTTATGCCACGGTAATATTTTTGAGATGCGAAACTAAAGAAGAAACATTAGTCAGTTTTGTAATGGCTAAGTCAAGAGTCGCACCCTTAAAAGAACTTACTATTCCCCGTCTAGAACTTATGGCCTGTCTTTTGGGCGTGCGTCTTTCCAAATATGTGACAGAAGCTCTTACATTGGATGACATCCCGAAATATTTTTGGACCGATTCCACCACGGCCATATCTTGGATTCAAAGAAATGATGCGTGGGGGACTTTTGTGGGCAATCGCGTGAAGGAAATTTGCGCTTTCACTAAAGCAAATCAGTGGTCATATGTACAGGGTCATTCTAACCCAGCTGATTTACCTTCTCGTGGTTGTTCCCCTCTTCAGTTTTTTCGAATTAAATTGGTGGAGAGGGCCTGTTTGGCTCAAAGACCCTAGAGATAGCTGGCCAAAATTAGAGGTTAAGCCAAATGAAACTTTAGTTTTTTCAGAGCGCAGGAAAGGCATAAATTTAAATGTAAATCTTAGTATAACTACAAAAGCGGATAAAGTTAAGTGGTGTGAGAAGTTCTCTAAATTTTCAAAAATGTTAAGAGTTTTAGGTTGGATAAAGAGATTTATCAAAAATTGTCAAAAGAAAATTGTAAATAAAGAGCCTTTTCTGTCTGCTTCCGAGATAAAGGAATCTAAAATTATACTTCTTTCACTTGTTCAGGGGGAGAGTTTTCCAGAGACTGGAGACTCCATCAATGGTCTTTTGACCGTACGAGATCAGAGTGGCTTAAGAAGAGTAAAAACAAAAATCACCGAACGAGATGATTCTTATGCATTCCGGTACCCGATTTTATTACCTTCTAAGCATTATATTGTTGACTGTTTAATTAGAGATTACCATTTAAAGCATTCTCATGCCGGCGTACAAGCATTAACTGTTATAATTAGAGAAGAATTCTGGATCATTGGTGCAAGACGCCGAATTAGATCGGTGGTGAAACAGTGCGTCCGTTGTAAACGATTTTCAGCAAAACCTCCAACTACTGCACCCATTCAATTACCATTAGACAGAGTTCGAGATGCTTTCGCATTTGAAGTTACCGGCATAGATTTATGTGGCCCTCTGATTCTCAAAAATAAAAACAAAACCTGGGTAGTACTGTTTACGTGTGCTGTATATAGATGTGTACATTTGGAACTAGTGACATCCGTAAGTACCGAATGCTTCATTCAAGCGTTCGTCGTCGGTTCATAGCCAGAAGAGGTCGGCCATCTACAGTTTATTCAGACAACGGCACAAATTTCGTCGGTACATCTGCATTGCTGAAAAAGGTTGACTGGGTAAAGGTAATTGCTCAGGAAACTTTGCATCCCATCACTTGGAAGTTCATTCCGCCCACTGCTGCTTGGTGGGGCGGATGGTGGGAGCGTCTAATCCGCACAGCCAAGAATTTGATTGTGAGAGTCTTAGGACAAGCTGCAGTCAATTACGAAGAGTTACTCACCGTCATCTGTGATGTGGAAGCCGTAATAAACTGTCGACCACTAACTTATGTGTCAAATGACTCTGAGGATCTTCTACCATTAACGCCTTCCATGTTCTTACAGGACATTAAGGTTTCAGGTACAGCAGATTTGGATGCTTTAGATCGAAATAAACTCTTGGCTCGTCAGCGTTTCTGCCAGGAACTTCGAGAACAATTTCGTAGCCGTTTCCGCAAGGAGTACCTTGGACAGTTAGTACAAAAGCATGGACAGACGGACTGTGAATTAAAAGTTGGAGACATCGTGCTAATAGGTTGTGAGAACCTTAAAAGAGTGAACTGGCCAATTGCTCGTGTCCAAGAACTTTGTACAAGCAGAGATGGACGTGTAAGAGTTGTAAAAGTGAAAACTAGAAATGGCATACTGATTCGTCCTGTACGTAAACTGTACCCTCTAGAAGTGTGTTCCTGTACTAAGGATACCATTATTTGATTTTTGATTTTCCTTCTGAAAATCAAAAAGGTGGGAGTGTTGTGAAACTGATTAGCTGTATCTAACAAATATTAAAAACAAATCTCTTCATTTTGATGTACGAGACACAGATGGCGTTGGCTGTCATTGAAGTAGGAAGAAAAAAAGGGTTTTCCCCTTTCGACCTCGTGACGTGAACTGATTAAGTGTGTAATAACTTTCGGGGGCCAGAAAAATTTCCCGACAATTGTTAAAAAATGTATATATTTTGTAGTATAGAGAGAATATAATTAGATAAATCAACATATTAGAGTTTTTATTACAGATTCAACATCACACTACCCAGGTAAGTGAGCAAGTTTTGTCTTTAGTTTTTCTGGATTGCTCGGTATCTGGGATGAGTGAAGGAAGTATTTTTATTTTAATGATATTTAATGATAAGACTATGTTTTAGTAATAACAAAAATCAATTTAGGAGTAGAGAAATAATTAAAGGTATTGCTAGTTACAAATATTTAATATCTGACGTGATTGTAAGATTGTGGCCAGTTTTCCAATGCGTTATAAGTATGCTAAGGTCGAAGAACAAAATTCATCTTTTATATTAGCAATACAAAATTAATATCTTTGGTTTAGTTATTTTTAATATGTCTTTCAATTAGCCTTAGTTTCTCACCGGAATCACATTCTAATTTTGTTCGGAATTTGTCCAAAAAAGCTTTATTTAAATGAAATTTATTATTTTTAAATAAAGTATTTCCACCTTCTAGCATTTTAGATCTAAGTTCTGAAAATTTTAAAATATTCCCCTATTTCTACATAGTTGTCCCCTCTGAGAACCCGTTTATTGGTAAATTGTATTCCCTTGACTGTTTCTATTTTACATGCAGTTTCAGTTTTCTAATGATAAATATTTTTATGTTCAAATGCAGGTTTCCCTTAAATTCCTTTAAAATTAATTTTGAATATCATTCTCAATAAATTTCTTCTTTTTGATTGATTTCATGTCTTTTAATCAATTTTCTCCCTCCAGTTTTTGTATTTTCATGTTATTGTTTGAACATAATAAACATTAATAATAATAATGTAGGCAAGGTGTAAAAGTATCAAGGAAAATTATTAACAAATTAAATTTAATTTGTTGGAACGAATTTATAACTTAATTGGCAATAGCTCTTTAAATTTCCTAAATTTTAAAATAAATGCATTCTCGTTTCAAGGAACTGTATATTACCCCATTTGCGTCATCATTTTCTCTGCAATGCTGCAAACTCTTGCCCAATCACTGTGCAGGATTAAACCATAGAAGCCAAGCTTATAAATAACTACTGCGACCAACTGCTTATCATTTTTTTTACTGCCTACACTTGTCGCTAAGTGACGTCCTTTCACTAAGCTGCATTCTCCATTGTTTAAAATGTAACTGCATATATGTAATTCTGGGACACGTTCAGCTACTCTAACGTTTTACCAATCATGAAAAAACGTGTATCTAAATAATTGTTCCTGTTAAAAAATAATAATGATATTCTAGCTATCAGGATAGTTGTATTTTCCCCTCCAGTCATCTACTACGCTGCAAATTCAAGCTATCTTCTATCGTAGGAGAGCTACGGCTTTCCCCACTCCGCCAATATTGAAAAATAATTGGTAATTTCTACGCTAAATTCTCTCATCTTACCAATAAACTACCAGAGGTATTTAAACTAAGAATTCTATGAAAGAATACTAAACAGCACATTTAAATCTGCTGGTGAAACATTAAATTTTTTAAAATCCTTAATGTTTATACAATAACATAAAAATACAAATATTATAAATAATAAAAAGATGAAAAGATATTAAATTATTCAAAAAGGTAAAGATTGATTGAGAATAATATTCAAAGTTAATTTTTAAAAAGTTGGAGGAAAACCTACATTTGAACGCGAAAAAAATACTTGTGCTTAGCGTATTGAAAGTACATGTGGCAATCGGAAACAGAAACAATTGCTAGGAACTATTAAAATACTTTTGAAGCAACAAAGGAAGTCTCTAAAGAGGAAATAGTTACATAATGAAACACTGCTGGTGATTATGTGATTAAAATCATTATCTCGAAAACTAAAAAAAAAAGAGGATAATTTAGCAACCTAGCTAATTACAGCTTTATTTAACAAGAATAAAACTGAAAATGAGCAAAAAAGAAAAAGAGAAAAAATAAACGAATAATCTGTTGTGTTGTATGATAAAAACGTAAACTGGAGAGAAGAAACTACGGCTCGGGTTCTGCATTTTAATCAAAAGTTTTCTGTACCTTCAAAATATGTTATTAATGTTTTATTTCGCTTAACGTAAGATATTCAATAATTAAAACTTATAACTTAATATTTATTGATGTGCATTTATATTTTAAGTGCATTTTATATTTTAATTTATTAGCTAATTCAATATTCAACTTAGACTTATGAGCCCGTTTTGGTTTACGGACATGGTTGCAGGTTATAAAAGAAGAATGTACCCTACAATAACAATATTCTCCCCTCCCCTGTTGGGATTCTAATTCAAACAAATATCTGGCTGGCTCATTTTCGGTGAGAAAGGAAAAAGGTATGACAATTAAAATTCTTCATTTCGAATCCTCTTTTGAAAGGCTGGTGGTTGAAAAAGGATAAGTATTAGAGCTATGAATTATACTGTGCTATTATTATCAATCGAACCGTTAAAGCTAGAAAGTTAGTTCTCATGACCGTGGCCTACTTAAATAATCATATATATATTTATTTAGAATACTAACTCAGAAATTCTAAATTAATAAAGTCAACTCTATAGCCAATGATGTATTTTTAGATCAGATTCACATGTTTAATTATCCCACTTTTTAACCACTGAAAGTCGCATGATTAAAGAGAAATCCACAGGAAGTTTGAAGAAGTTCATATGTTTCGAAATGTCACCATCAATGTATCAATTTGTCAGTTGTAAGTACGAATGGTGCTATAGCTTAACCCCAACTCAGAAAGAGTTTGTCCTGGAGCACAACAAATTTGATCCTAATAAACTTAAACTGGCAAGATGTAATTGTCATTGTTGATTTATCGTCACGTATTAAAAGATGGTTTTCCTTTTCAACCTCTGCAATGCACTTTTTCTTCATTTTTCCTCTTTTTCTGGGTTATTTTTCCTCTTCTGTCACGTAGTGAGTGATATATATTACTTGGGTGAATTTCGGCAACCCAGTGTATTGGTCTCCAACAATAACTGGGTCCCCGATTTTGATGGATGGCCACAAAAAAGATGTCCACGGGCTGATATTTCATTGTTAAAGCACGTTATAAATCAATGACAATGATTGACTCCGATGCGAAGAGAGCCACACTGGCTTCGAAGAAGATTTTATACTCTTTCTTCTATATTTCACATATTCCTGCATGCTACTTTTTTTTTTCCTTTTTACATTCTTTTCGTTCCATGTTATGTAGTAGTTTAGCCTCAGCGATTTAGAGAGGGATCTTGCGCTGGAACAGAAAGAATCGTAAAAAAAAAAAAAAAAAAAAAAAAAAAAAGTCTTTTTGCTTGGTATGTTTTCTGCTAAATGTTTTATGCTTTTCATGAGTTCATGCTACAATTTGAAAAGACTTTAAGTTTTTAAAACCATGATTTGAGAGCATATATTATATATTTAAAGTAAATAAACGAAATCGGCATTTTGGATATAATGAGCTATTAAAATCATAGAAAATGCTTGATAGTTAATTTAAAGAAAGAGATTTTCTGGAAATAAAGGAATGAATTTTGAAGAGATCATTATATAAAATCACACATTTATTTTTTGTCATACTTTGTTTCATAGATATGTCATTAAAAAGGGAAAACTGTAGCAATCATTGAATTCAAAAGGCGTGTGTATATGAGTGTTGATCTGTCGTTAATGAACGCTGAGGAATTTGTGTTTTGAATTTCTTAACATTCATGAAGTGCACTGTATTCTGTATTCCAAACTAAAGTGGGAGAAAATGGTCACAGATGATCCAAACTGTTAATTTTTATGTGAATTGCGTGTATTTATTTCTCAAAAAGTCAGTCATTGGGGTTTGCTTCTGAGAACGTTCGAAGACTTGTTTAGTACTTCTTTTAACAACAGCATCACGAGCAGTTTGCAATTCAATTTCATATTTTTTGGCTATATTCTCCATTCGCTATGTTCAAATCTTTCGATAAATGTAAGTTTTTGTTTTAATGTTAAATCAATTTTCTTCTGTAAAATCAATTTTCTTCTGTTGAATCAATTTTCTTGTGTTAAATCAATTTTCTTGTGCTGGTATTTTTTTCATTTTTAGTTCGATAATTTTAAATCAGTTTTTAAAAGAATAAAAAGGAAATACGCACAAAAACGAAGTTTCCAGTAGTCTAGCAAAATGATGCCTTCAAATACGTTACATGCAGATTTTTACGCGCTCTTTCACGCAAGGTTGAGTATGTGTGCATAGTCACCAACACACACTGATAATCTGCAAACTAGATAATTCGCCCCAGATAATCGAGAATACTTTATATGTTAAAAAATACAAGTTTACATCTTTCGGTTTTTAAACTAGAAACGGAAAGCTTCATTTATACATGTGTACAGCTATTTCCGCTTTAAAGTTCTTGATTCACCGATTTTTAAAGCTCTTTTAAATTTCTTAAAAATTCACCTTTAATTTATCCCTTTTATTTATTTCATCCCGTTTTCCGATTTAAATAAGAAATTTGTGGTTCGTTTTACTGTACTTTCGCAACGTATGCTACATTTATTTCTTGCTTGCCATCGGAAGACAGATATAACGCTTTATACATGTCCTTTGCGTTCAAAAACATTTAAATTTTGAACAATGAATTGATTAACTTTCGACTACTTCCTATCTTAGTGATTTTGGGTCATTAAATGAATGAGATAATCCGTTTTCATTAATAAGACAGAAGCAGTGAAATGTTATATCATTAGATAATAAAATAAGAATAATGATAGTCTTCGTGAAACTACGATATTTAGAGCATTG